AATATGCCATAAATAATGACATCTCGCCCACAAAGACACAGAAAGCGAGGGACCACAATTTTTTGAATTTGCTTGTTTTTCTTATCCCCCCCCCCTTTTTATTTTAAATATCACCCAACGCCAAGCAATAATGACTCTTGCTAGACTTCATCATTCAGCGGGTTAGCTGCATAGATCTGTAGCTATCTAGTTGAAAAAATTCGGATAGTTTGTCTATTCGAATTTTTTTTCAACCAGAGAGTTACGTACTGATCTGCATCTTTCAGCGGGTAATAGTGTTTTTGATAAATTTTTTCGAACGAATCAGATTTACTAAAATGTACCTGTAAGTATAATTTACATCAATAATGCTGTAAATAGACATTGTGAAAATAGTTATTGTAAAGTTTTATGATAAATATACATTGATCAATAAAGATTTAACCTTATATAGACCCGAAGAAACATTTAATACGGATGGGCTTTAAACTCCGAACGAACTAACTAAAAAGTAAATTGATGTGAATTATATTTCATTACAAAAAGAACATTCTCAATAAAAGTAACCTTTTTTTTCAAAAAAAAAGACATGCTTTTAATACTAAATAACAATGATAAAAAAGCCTTCTGTGATATCAAAATCAACTTCAGTCCTCAGTTTTGTATTAGCTTGGCATTGTAAACGTTAGAATGTATTTGTTTTGGAATGACTTTGGTAGAGATAAGATGGTGGTAATTATCGGAACCCCTTGGACACGATCCTGCAGTCATCCTGTTAAGTGGAGCAACTGAATTCGAACCATTATTTATTTTCATCATCATTCGGGATTCTCGGATGTCATCGTACTTTTCCTCTCTTATGTTACCTAAAGAAACATGTAGTACAATATTTAAAAGATTCCTAAAAATTAATTATCTTGTATGGATTCATTAAAGCAAAATGTCTTTGCAAAATGAAGAAAATGATAAAAATCAATTAGACGATTTAGTTGAAGGGTTTTTTTCCCCCTAAGATTTAAAAGCAAGT